CTGAGGCTGCAATCCATGGGCTCGAAAAGCGAGCCTGGCGCGGCCGCAGCGAACATCTCGGCCATTGCTGTGAAGCAGGAGCCGCTGGACGTGTTTAGCGCCGAGTCCGACGCGAGGGCCACGGAGGGCCTCAATTCGATGACCGACGATTTGGAATCGCTGATGAACGACTTCGACCAGTTTGAGCAGGAGCAGCAAAGCCGACCGAAGCTGCGGATTCGAAAGCTCAGTGGCGACATGCTGTCTTCGGATGACACGGTACGTATCATGTTGTGTTCGGTCGACGTTTGCTGTAATCGGGCGATTGCCTCATTCAGGTGTCCGCCGAACGATGACGCCCCGAGTGGCACAGTTTCCGTGAAGACATTTTCGTGTGGTAACACTGCCAATGTCATTGATTGCGCGGTATCGCAGCATGCAGAGATTTGTTTCCTGTTTACGTTTTTGGCATCAGTTTTAGTGGTTGAAAGATTGTGCAGTTAACACGGCCTGTTCCGGGTTGATCAATTTTAAAATGGTGTGTTATGAAATGTGGTGCGGGAAGAACCCGTAACTGAGGTGTCTCGTGCATACAAGTTGATAATGAGGCCTATAATTTTCCAGTCAAAAGCAGTCACCCAGAATCTTGATGGGTGCTTAGAGCAGGCACGTTTTGCTCAGATTTTTGTCACTCCTGCGTTGAACACATTAGTACAAATTGTTTACTGTGGGTGGAAAGTGAGCAAAGACTTTGCGTGGTACCTAACGCGGATTGGTTTTTATTGCTCAAGGCTCCCACCGACACACATGCGAGTTATAGTGTAAAGCGGTTCAGGTGTTTTGCTGGAAGAAAAACAGATGTCCCCTTCTCTTTTAACCCTCCCTCCGTGCTTTTAGCACCCCGTGACAGATCCACTCCCTAACCTTAAAATTTGTAGGGGGTGCCCATGCACTTGACCCGCGTTGCTGCACTGGGGTGGCAGGTATGCGCGTCGTACAGTTCTCGCGGTGTCACCCAATCTGACCTGAATGTCCGGGGTGCTCAACCAGGTTGGCATTGTAAAAAGGACGGGGAACGTTCCACCAATTACTGACAAGTGGAGCGGCGGATGTCGGAAAGGGGCAATAGCGTATCTTTGTATGGTGTGCGAGAGGTTTGTGCAAAAACTAAATGATTCGTACGGTTTCAAACATTGTTACAAGCGAAGCGCAGTTTCGCTCGAACGTTCCACCCGGAACATGTCTGTTACCCAGAATAGCCCCGCTAAACGTGACCCAGGACAGCCCCCCCCCCCCCTGCCCCCGTTCTGGCTGCTTTGCCTGACATCATCGCCACGCCATAGAGGAGTCCCCGTCCCGGCATTGCCCCGGACAACCGGGGAATCACCTGCGTTGTGTATCTAGGTATGGATCAGTTCGCTAGCCTGTCAAGTAATGCGTATGCATGAACGTAGCCGGTGAGAGAGTGGGAGGCGTGGCAAGGGCCCATGAACCAAGAGGTTGACACGTAATAGTTGGGCTCTTTTACATGAGTTCGGTCCAAATTCGCAGTTTGGAGAAAATTTCGCATTGCCCTCCTGAAGAAAATTGGCGAGCTGCCTGCGCCCAGCCCTCAGAGTGCGTTGAACTTGAACAGAGAACATTGAACAGTCACACGCTGCCCCTGGGATCAGTGCCGACGCTTTCCACACGTGACCGGTTGCAGCGCGCCCAACGGCGGCCAATGACGCGCCCCGGAGGCAAGACGGTCCGCACGGTGCTCCAAGCACTATGGCTGTGGGTTGCGACTCCCGAACTCGCCCGACGTAGGGGACTCTGGAGTGTGCCGTGGGGTATCTTGCATGTGTGATGGACGCTGCACGTTGCTGTTCACGTTAGAGCGCTGCTGTCGGGTTAATGGGGGTGTTCTACATTTGGAACACTTCAGAAATATACTTTGGTGAAACCTCAGGACCATTTACGTCTTACCATAACACTGGGTGGCGTCACCACTGCGCCATCAAGATGTAGTAAGAATGTAAATTTGTATTGTATTTGAATCCAAATTACGCTGACATGGCTTTGTAACAGCACGACACTCCTCATGATAGCCCAGAGTTTAGCCAGTGTCCGCAAGAAGTATCGCGTCGCGTGTCGCGGCCGCCGTTATGACAACCGCCGTCGTGACGACGGCAGAATCTGCGGAGGGCCGTTGTCAGCTGTTACAGGATAGAGGTGTCACTTGTGAGCTCTTTTCAATCGCACTTTGCCGGCCTGCGGGCTTGGTAGTACCTCTATCGGTGTGAATGACTACAGTATCGCCGTCGTCAGGACGACGGCAGAATCTGCAGAGTGCCGTTGTCGGCGGTTACGGGTTAGAGGTATCACTCTTGAGCTGTTTTCAATCACACTTTGCGTGCCTGCGGGCTTGGTGGGACATCTATGGGTATGAATGACTACAAACATCGTAGGGATAAATCAAAGCCATAGTATAACGTTTCACGAATTCGCGTGGTTATGGCCTCGCGCTTGCATATATTTTTCTCTTACCAGTGTTTCAAGCTTTCGTGGCATTTCGCGCACGAACATGTTAAAAAATAAGTGTTTTGATACAGAACACACGTTTAAAAGGCAACGCACATAAAATTTACTACCATCGTAGTGGTGAGCAAGGAATCCATTGAGCGTTGTCCCGCAGCGGCGCCTACTTGAATTCAAGATTTTGAGCTTCCCAGAAATTTCAAGAAAACTTGTTGCCGATAAAATCTGACTGGTCTCATCTAATAAGAGATGAAAAGTGCCATAAATGGTCGCATATGCATCCTAATTGGTATTCTTGCGGTAGTGCTCGCCTCGTGGGCAAAAGACAGTTATGCAATAGGAGGCCTGTAAGTGCAAGTCATGGACTTAACATGGGCTCGTGAACATCCCATTGGGGTTGGATTTTCAAACAAAGACATGGCCGACGTTCAACGTCCTTTTGGGCTGGGTGTGCCGGCCACGTCAATGACGGCTCCGAGTTTTGACAACCGAAGTATCGTGTGAACAAGAAAGTCGCCGTCACGTGATGCAGCGATGGCGATTCGACCGACCACTCCAAGATGAATGCACTGCTTAATCATTTTTTGGCACGCTGTTGGTTTCAAATGTTACGACAAAGGCATACAAACTTAAGTGATAAATAATTAGGCATAGACGCTAGCCAAAACATTAAACTTTTCCCACAGCGTGTGGCTCGAATTGATAACGGCGTGCGTGTGTAGTGTACGTCTTGCCTTTGGGGGTGGTGGTGGTGGGGGGGGGGGGGGGAAGGAGGGTCGCTCACGCTAGTCAGGGTAAAACGACTAAAACTGACATTGCGTGCGATTCGGTTGGAAATTTGGCAGACTGCACATTTCGGTCACCATGTGACGCATAGCGACGATACTGTCGAGCGCTTTTATGCCGCTGCGCTCTTTGAGACGGGGCGAATGCGAAAGACTTGTGGCCTTTGGCGGCTGCATGGGCGATCATTGTCACACACAACTGAGGCTGGGGTGCTTAATCGGACCGGTCGTCCCAGCGGAATGACTGTGCCATGTCCTTCGATAACCTTTAGTGTGTCCTCCGATTTCGGGGAAGTAGCGTCACTCTTGGGTCCTGCCGTCAAACGTGCCTCTGCTCACTCCGGGTCTATCGACCGTTATCAAGGTGTTATGTTGTATGGTGTTAGCGTCTGTCAAGGGGCCTTGATACATCACCTACTTCAGTACTGGGTACATGACTCGGCGATGGGGCCTCTTGAAAGATAAAGCCTGATCAGCTTTTGGGTCTAAGGAGTGTACCTTTCATACGCAACTCGGTTATTGTGCAAGAGTGATGTATCCCCGGGTCCTTCTTGCACGGACTCTTGACTACGTAAGGCATCCACTGGCGCCCAGAACTTTCCCGGAAAAGGGCAAAATGTTGTCACGTCAGACGAGTCGGTCAGCCTCTGGCTCACAGTAGATGTCATCCGAGATGACGGTCCGTGCTGACTGTGGAAATTTGCCTGGGTTTGCCACCACTGACGGGTGTTTGGGGCTTCACACACCTCGTGTGGTATAAGTGCCCGTTTGAGTAAAGGTTGACATGCTTTTCGGTCCGTTTCATATATATATATATATATATATATATATATATATATATATATATATATATATATATATATATATGTTTGCATACATATCACATTGCAAACAAGTTGTTTTGTACGCCCATTGCCATCATCATAATAATTTATCACGCAACTAGTATTCCTGATAAAACGTTGTGTTTCTCAACCTACATCCTTAACCGCCAACCTTTCATTCAAATTTATCAACTCTGTCGTAGCAGAGGTATCCATCGACCATCGCATCCGTGTAAATGTGCTACATGATTCGCAGGGCGCCGGGACTGGACTGATGATATCGAGTGTGATGAGCCTGACCGGCGGGTCGGAGGCCGACCCGGGACTCTCAGCTGGCGCAGGTAGGACCGGTCGCCCGTAGCATTCGGAAAGTGACCGCGCGCACTCGAACTCTGGGTTTGAGACACGCCGCCGCGCCTAGTGCGGTTCGAGTTTCCAACTCCTTTGACAGTGAGGAGCGGGTCTGCGTTGATGGTTGGGTTTCGAATGATCGGTGTAGCCGTGCGAGGACGCGACGCAAGTAGTGGTGTTGGAGCGCCTCGGCTGAACGGAGTCGCGCTCTGGCCGCCAGGTGGGAGCGCGGGGAAGGCGGCTGAGCTGTTCTCGTTCCCGCCCGGGGGCGAGCGGCGGCCGTGGAAGTACTTCCTCACCCTCAAGGACCAGTCGAAGGTGATGCGGCTCATGTTCCACATGCACCACAAGTCGGCGTACAAGTGCAACGCCGTCCACTGCAGCCTCACCACCAACAACGGCACGCTCTTCAAGCTGCACCTGCGCAACCACGAGAAGTGCGACGTATGCGCCCCGAACGAGGCCGCCTATACGTGCATGAACACGCGGCTGGTGTGCGTCTACTGCGGCTACAAGGGCGACGACCTGGCCTGAGCACGTGTACAAGCGGCACGCCGTCTCCCAGTTCCAATGCGGCTACTGCTTCTACCGCACCCGGCAGAACGCGTACATGCACGAGCACCAGGTGAGGGCTGGCTGTGGGGCTCTGGACCTGGGCGCGACTGTCTGCCAGACACAGGCCGGTGTGGACGGGTGTGCGACTGTCTGCCAGACACAGGCGGGTGTGGACGGGTGTGCGACTGTCTGCCGGACACAGGCCGGTGTGGACGGGTGTGTGACTGTCTGCCAGACACAGGGCGGTGTGGACGGGTGTGCGACCGTCTGCTAGGCACAGGCCGGTGTGGACGGGTGTGCGACTGTCGATTTAGCTCCGTATACGCTCGTCGGCGGGAATCCACAGGAATGCACGGAGCTGACTTGGCTGCCCACGTGGGGAGGCAGGGCGTGATGGAAGATGAGACCCGATAGGAGTTACCGGTTCTGAATCGGTTTCGCCGGAGCGGCATCATGCATAAGCCTGCCAGTAAGCACAATGTTGTCGTTCCTTATATCTGCTGACATCAAAAGAGCTGCGGTTTGCGAGCGCCGCGGTTCACCGTCGCTAATCGGCGTGCTTTCCACCCGCAGCGTCGCTGGCACGGTGACATGCCCACCTACTTCTTGCAATCGGACCCGGCCAACCCGCCGCCCGGCCTCAACGCCTCGCACCTGGTGGAGACGGAGATGGTGGGGGAGTCCAGTCTCACGCCGTACATCTGCGCGCAGGGTAGGCGCCGCCGCCGCCGCTCCGGTCCCGCCGCTGTCGGGCATGACGGCGGACGCGCGCCAATGGCGAGGGATGGGCGTCGCGTGTGACTTGGATTTCGGTTCATGGGATGGGCGCGTGAACCTCGGGTCGCTTTAGTCGAGCTGTGCGGCAGCGATAGTGTGTTTTGCTTCGGTGCTCGGGTTTCGTGGCTCGTGCTGTTCAGGTTTGGGGCTGTATGCAGGCGGGTTTTCGTCCCATTGGTGCCAGTCAGAAACCGGTGCATTGGATTTGTCGGGCTTGCGGCGGCCGTCCGGTGCAGCAGCAGTTCGTGCTGCCGCCGACAGTTTTCAGTTCGCGCGGCTGATCGCCGCCTCGGCGTGCGACGCGCATTTTGTTGGTATCAGGTCCCCGGCCGGCCGCGGTTGAGTATCGTGCCGGTGTCCGACCTGCCTCTCCCACCACCAGAGGGCTGCGACAGGGCGTTCATCAAGGCGGCCGTGCTGGAGAACCACTACCGCGAGGCGCACCCGAGCGTCGTCTCTTTCCCGTGCCACATCTGCGGCTGCAAGGTGGCCACCTTCGGCGCTCTGATCGGGGTACGCCGTCGGCCGGCAGTGCGGCGCCGGCCTCACCACTTGTCGGCTCCGCTGTTCAGAGGGCTGTGTTCTGAATTACCAACCGTTGATGGGATGTGGTGGGTGTTTTTGTCTGGTTGGTCAGGTGTCCGTTGATTTCGTATCTGCTGGGGCTGGGGCTGTAGGTGCGAACAGGGTGTACTCACACGCCTCCACGGGTGCATGCCCCTCCCCCTTACCATATCTATGCATTGTATTGATGCGTACGTGAATGAATGTTGATACAAAATTTAAGACAGGCACGCAACGCTAATCCGATTGAGAATATACCGTGCCGCGACGCCAGATATGATATCTGAAACCCTCATGTATATATTGGTGCGTGTGGCAGGCTGTTTTCCTCAGTCAACAGTTAAGTTTCATTATGAGCTGTTTTGACGACGATATGTAATTGTGGCTAACTTGGTTCTTGTCTGCAGCATTACGTCGGCCATGGCTACGTGGCCTATCACTGCGCGTACTGCAGCTACGCACACCAGGAGCAGAACGTCGTCAAGAAGCATCTCATCGACTTTCACCCAGATGATCCACCCAAATGCTACGCCAGGATCCCCAAGGTACAGCATCCGCTTTTGTTTGCTTGCTTATTAATCCAGCACTTACCGGGGTGTTCCGCGACCCGCGAACACATGGGCGAGGTGAAAGTACCCCGCTTGAGGCTGAGGCTGCACTGGCCGGTGTCGTATTAGGACCGAAACGTGGCATCGAAAAAAAGCAAATGACAATCAGCGGCCGTGGTCAGTCTGGCACAGAAATCGTTGAGTGGACATCAGTTACGTGCTTGACGGCACCACAGATCGAGCGGATAACCTTGGGAACGAAAAATGGAAACGGCGTCAGGGGCATTTAACGCCCGCAATACTTGTAGTTGCGCACCTTGTCACTGTTGTAGAACTGCATCATTTACGCCCGCTCTCTTGTTACAAGTAAGCGCAGCAAATCCCTTTTAGTTCAACCCCTTGCGAGTTGACCTCACCTAACCTACGTAAACTATCGGATGTGACCTCGTGTGGTGTAGCTGAGCCTGACTGGCAGACAATCTACTTAGTGGACAAACTGCGTCAAAGCAATGCAAACCTAGGAAAGAAACGGCGAATGAATGGAGGTCAAAATCGCCGTGGTTCCCTTTATTGATGACGCACAATTAAGCAACCTGCCCCAAAGTCCATTTCTTTTTAGTCATAAACGCGTGGAATTTATCATGTGTCAGGCACTTAATGAATAGATGAAGTCAAGATACCTTACACTGCTCACTAGTTACTAGTATATCTTATAGTTATTCGAGTAACTCGAAGGGAGTGGGGATACTTTTCCCAGGTGGTCGTAGATTTAAGGGCTCGTCAGCTGTATGCCCGATGTCTTTTCATGTGCTGACGTCATCAAGAATAGCGAGGGACAACGCCACCATACACGGTGATATCTTTTGGGTGGCTGTTGTTCGGGAGGGGCCGCCTGTGCGGTGTGGGTCTCTCCGCGAGAGCAATCGGAAGAAGCGCTGGGGCACTTGTGGCGCGATATCAAGAATAGTCTAGTCGGCTCTTATCGGTGCAAGTGCTCTTAATGGCCTGTCTGGTATTTCCGTGGTGAGATCTGCTTTGTGGTCGAGCACTGCTGTAGATCTGTCGATCCTTGCTCGTTATAGTTTATTCTAAGTACGGACGAGGAGGCCTCGGGCTGGCGGCCCCCGAGCCGGCGCGATGCATCCTAGACATGACGTGCGTTTGTGCTGAACCGCCACTCCCCGAGCGCGGAAGTCGGTCGTGTTATGTATGCATGATATGTGGACGGCGCGGTAGAGCTGCCATAGTTCCACGGCATGTGTGCTGCAGCAAAAACTCCCGATAAAAGCGCCACGACATTACTTTGACGGCTAATATATGGTACGCGACGGAAGTGCTACACGACAAAGCTTATGCTTCAAAAACATATGCCCGGCATTAGTTCTACTGCGAAAACGTCTGCTGTCATCACTTGTGCATGACATTACTTGTACTGCAAATACTAATACGCAGCATTAGTACTATTCGACAAAACTTACATTTAAATTAATAATTAAATTACTTATGCTTTAAAATTTAGACAGTTAAAGTTTAAATTTGCCCTCGACATGATTGTACTAAAAAAACACACGCATATTCGTGCTGCATGTGAAAACGTATGCTTAGAAATGTTTGCCTTACGTGTGCGCGACATTACTTCTACTGCCATTACTTAGCCGTGGAGTGCAAAATGCATGGACATCTAGTAAGAGTGTAGGAACAACGCAGGTTGTGGCAGGGTACCCCAACTGGGTGATGCTGCAATTATTAACTTATAGTACCGATATGAAATTGATCTATTTAATAGGTTACGTTATTTGATGTGTTTGTCGTCCGGTGGTGGGTTTGTTTGGTGGGTTGTTGCAGTCGCGGTTCCAGAGCCTCAAGGACTGGTATAACTGTTGGGCACTAGTCTCGTCATGTTACACGTATGCCTTAAATGAGTCATTGCAGCAGAAGTAATGGCGCGGTTTAGTGAACACCAGGCCAGGGTTGTTTCATATTTAGGCGAGGACTCCATCCAGCTCCAATTTGTGGTAGAACCCCTTGCGTGATAAAACCCCGTGTCTCATTTATTTTGCGACAGGTCTGGCCGTCTTTTTGTGCGTAGCCCCCAGGCTAGTTCCGCAACACTGACACTACACTAGGTATGTTTCAAGTAGAATAAATGCCGTGTAGACCATTGCCGGTGTGGGTACATCGATAGCAATATTTGCAGCAGCACTAATGCATCGACACCATTCAGTGGGCATTTCTAGTCTGGTTTTGCCATCCAAGTATTCCCATGTGCTCGCTCCCTCTCGTTCCCATGTGCTCCCTGTTTCCTTTTTGGGTGAGGCTTAACCATGTGTTCGATTCCCCCGTTTCTTTTTTGGGCCTCGTTCCCTTCCGTTTTCTTTTTGGGTCTCGTTCCCTCCGTTTTCTTTCTGGGCCTCTTTCCCTGCGTTTCCCTTTAAGGTGAGGCTTATTGTATGAGAGGAAGTAGTTCAAGTATAATTTGTGAAGTGCGACCGGTCTCATACCAGAAATGTGGCGTATATGTATTCACAGTAGAACGTATACGGATTGTAAGAAATGATGGTTTAGGTTTTGGCTGTCGAAGTGATCACGAGTATACGCTTTTATAGTATAAGTGGCATCGCGTGGGACTCAGGTGTGTTTTTACGGTAGAAGTAGTGTCGGATATATGTATTCGAAGCATGCATGATGTCGTTTAGCGCTCATTTCGCGTTAAGGCTTTGCAGTAGAAGGAATATTGCGTATAAGTAACGGCTGTGTGAGTTTTGCAGGGCTAAGTAATGTCGCGTAGAAGTTATATAGCACTACTGTCTTTGGGAGTATCAGCCGTAGCATTGATATCGTGGCACTTAGTGTAGTCATGATAGTAAATACGCCATAAAAGCCCATTGGTGGTCCTCCGTGACTCACAAGAACTTCTTGGTTTGGTGTACTGCAAAGTGCATTTTATGCTATTTTGCTTGAATTATCGCATGCTTATGTTCACGTTTACTGTAAATTTTCGGACATGACGGTTGTCGTTTTCCTTGAAAGCGGTCCCGGGAAGCAATAATGAAACGCATTTTATCGTGGCCTGGTCGTTCACCTCATGCGATTGGAC